TTTCCCCCGGGACAAACTTGACCTTCATTGGTTGGGTTTTTATGGCGGTCAAGCTGTAGATCCTGGCTACACAGGAGTTGCAGCCGTGGGAACCAGAGGTGGGAATAGTCCCGTAAACCATAGTTTGACCCACAAACGAAGTACATTGATAACTATAATGAACAAACAATGTGATGTCAGAATCAGTTTACAAGGTAAGTTTGCAAATGATAGCGCTATCTAAATACTGCATAAATATCTATTGGCCCTTATCAGATATAATCAAATAAACATCAAAAGATACGAGTCCATCGCCCTCCCACGTGATTATCACATTATTCTAAATGATTATTATCTGTATTATCTCTTTTTATGAAATGATATAATTATGAAACTTGTATTAAGACTAAAGAATGCTTGAATATACTTGAAAGTAGTTGAAAGTACCTATGTTTGGTTTAATTTCAACATAATTAGGTATTTATAAATTGCATTTTACTAGTGTAAATATTTACATAATAATTGTAGGTACCTCATGGTTTTATAGAGACTAAATTCAGTACCGGTACCAGTTATCTGTGTAAAAAAATATTAATCATTTTACTACATTTCGATATATTTAGAGTTCAAAGGCAAAAGCATTTTTTTATCAGTCATCTTGCTGATTGATATGACAGTTTACGATTAACTGTCACGTTGGATGCCATAACTTTAATTTTTGATGACACTTGTAAAGCCACAATTATGCGGCACTATACCGAATGAATACTATTACTTTTTTTTTTGTAGTTTTCTTCGTATTATCTCTTAGTTATTACGATTTAATCTTGAATTCAAGCAATTGAAGAGTCGCATTTCTAATTTCCATTTCCCGAAAGCTTTTTCCTTGGCATCTGTTTTCTTTACAGATTTACAGATCATAATATAAAACAACATTGCTCACAGCCGAATGCAGTGCCAAATACCTAAAGGAGAAACACCCGAGCGTTACGAACAAACCTGACACGTTTACCTCACGTGAAACGTATTTCGGGTGCATGTAGGAACACCACAAATGTTCCGATTTTCGTGGACTGTCCTGATTATGCAATTACAATAATTGAAGTGCCGAAGCGATACTCAAAAGTCAAATCAAGTGGAAAGAATAAGATATGTGACACATCTAGAATATTTTCCATAAATATTAAATGNTTTTCTACGTTTTAGTGTAGGTTTTTGGCTGAAACGAACGAACGCATTCTGAGCAGTAGTCAATTAGTCATGGTAGGTTAGGTTCCTATACTATCCTAAGAATTATTGATTACCTACATGGCCAACATACCTTTCAGCATCTTTGGGAAGCGAAAAAAAGATAAATCCGGTAGATTTCTTTTCGAATTTAAACACCCGAACGCCGCAAAATAATATTTATATATCTTTATGTCCATTTTTAAATTATACTTCGATCATAGAATTAGGTACTACAACGCACGCACTCGACTGATATAATACCCGCCGGCGCGGGGCGCTTCGCTGTAGGTAATTATCGGATGTACCGCGCGGAGTGAGCCAGGCCTGNAAATATTAAATGAGGTCAGTTTCCATTGATTGCATTGATTATGTTTATGAGCCTATAAATACCAATGATAACAAAAATCCTTCAAATGTTCCCATTTAAAGTACCTAATTAAGTAGGTAGGTACATCGTTTTGATATTCGAGTAATTACCATGGTAGCATAGCAACATGCGGGTTGATAGAAGGTTTGCTTGCACTCCTTTAATTTATTATACTCTATCACACAGATAACAGAAACTAAAGAAAGATGTGACAAGGGGGCGGGCCCGGTGTTGCAGCAACATGCCCAAAAACAACACATTGCTGCAGACGTCATAATGTAAACAGTTTACATTGCTTGTGTAGTACTAAAGATTATTCGAACGTTGAGTACTGGTACCGCAGTGGTTAATGAGCATATATTTTGATTGCTTTGTGTGTGTCAATTTCTAATGCGACACTGAATTTCGAACTTAGCGCATTGTTGGCATCTCTCTGTATCTCATGGACTATCACATAGTATTTTTTGCAATAACTACGGTGCACTTGGGGTGTCAAATTTTGAGAAAACAATTTCGTTTTAAAATAAACCAGTTATCTTGGCAAACCTTGTCAATGTAGTCTCGTCTTATACTCATTGGCAAGCTCAATGGTGTTTAAGAGTGATATTTCCTCGTCAATTCTTCAGCTAATATCCTATAATCACCTCTCATTTCGGCCGTCAAAAATTACACGAGTGACGTCAATGTATGATTGACGATGTGAACACCTAATATGAGTGGGTTATTTCCAGATATTTACCATAATAAGGATTGAATTAATGGCGGCAAATCAACGTAGCAATAAGAACAAGAAGACGATTATAAGTCGATCAAAGAATAAATTATCTTTGGCATGACCATTATAAGATTTATAAGAACCATTCATAGAACTACCAAAAAATTTTTGTAGGAAAAAGCTCTAGGTACCCATACTTATAATATAAAATACTGCTTCAAGATACCTATGCTACAAGATGCTAAGCTACCAAAGCAAAAAAAAACGTTACAGTTTAATATTATGATGGTAATAAATACCCACTGAAGTGACAATTATTTGAAAAATAATGACAAAACCAGCGTAAAAATTAATAGTTACATTTAAGGTAGATTCGTTAAAAACGCGCGGATTTTAATGTTTCATCTTGCAATATACTCATTCCTATCGATGTAAAAATGTTGCCAAGAGCATGCAATCACAATTTTCGTAGTTTTCACGGATTTTTCATTTCGTAAGCTCTACATTTGGCTTAAAAATAGTAAAAATAAGACCAAGACCATTGCATTTTGTTTTGCAAAATGTCGTCATGCACTTTCTTTGTAAACCAAATTAGAAAAGGTGATCGACCGTCAGCACGCTTTTATCAGTGTGCAGTGCACTGCTGAGAACGGCTGGCAATCAGCCGGCGCCCTTCACCTTGCTGTCAAGAGGGGGACACACTGCTGTGTCATCGGCGGAAAGATTAAAGGAAGAAAGAAGATATGATTAAATCAATTAATAATGTTTTCTTCATGCAATTAGCAACATTTAGGAATGTTGACATCCTTTTAAAGTGGTTAACTGAATATTTGAGATATATTAATAAAATTAGAGAGTATTGATAAATATTTTATAATAATATTAGTGGACATTTTGTACGCCCATTAGTATGGTCAGGCGGTCGAATCCATTAAAACTTCAATATCTGGTAACCCTAGAAAATTAACAAAAATAATTAATCTATTTGTTAGACTAATTCACCTTTTTGGCACAAATTGATGAAAATTAATAAAGTGGTGACTGAAAATGTCCAATTGCACGCGTTACTAATACAAGTTACCAATGCAAGTCCAATGCACATTAGTAGTTAACGCCTAATATAATAGGTACCTACCTAATTAATGTGATCGAGACCAATGGAATTTTACGAAATAATGTTGTCATATAAGTACCTACTACGAGTATACCAATTCATTTAAGATCAATTGATCGGCGTCGATCTCTCTCAAATAACAGCAAGAGTATAAGATGTTTGTTTAGGTAGGAAAAATGATGTGCATGAGTAAGAAACGACAATATTTGACATCGAAAATAGAAAGTAATTTGAATTATTAAAGTGACTAAGACATTCAACATTGAATAAATAACTCAAAACGAAGACGAAGACAATAAGTTATTTTGCAACCCATAATGTAAAGTTATGTCATAAACACAGCAAACATAGCGTCGCGTCGCGGACGCATTTAAAATACGATTATACGAATTAAATGGAGTTGTCACTCTATTGTTTCACTAAAATACCTAATCATTGTCAAAAATAGGGAGACTGAATAGGTACATAATCTTTTCAGGTGGGGATTCTCAGATGGTTCAAACTTGGAGTGCAAGTGTGTTTGTGTTCTCCAGTCAATGAATCACCATGATGTCGTGCCCTGCGTACCCAAACAACTGCACGCAGGAAGATTTTAATGAATGCAGCTGACAACGCCACTCTAGTAGCAGAGTTTTGGGCTGACACTGTAGGTTTGTTGTCGACACGCCCAGTACCTACATACGTTCATGAGTGTTCAGCCTAATATTTGCACTTGGCTTTCATCATCAAATATTGACAAACGTCATCCAGCTTTGACTGATGAATGCGGTAAAAATATAATGTGTATTTCAAAAATTTTCATCTCCACAGGGGTGGCGATGACTGACTGACCGTGGGCGCCAGGTTGGGCGCCAGAAGAATGGCGTCAAAGAAACTAAAATAAGTACTTAACTAATTACCTAGGAATAGAAAGTCAATACTGCGTAAACAACTGAAATATTTTTAAACTTTTTGCATAATATGTTGGCGCGCCTAATTTAAAAAGAAATTGACTTTTTCAAAGGTTAAAAGGATAAAGTTGGTTTAAAAAAATTCTTGAATAAAACCACTCATAAAATATGCCTCAATCCCAACTAATATTATAAATGCGAAAGTAACTCTGTCTGTCTGTCTGTCTGTTACGCTTTCCCGCTTAAACCTCGCAACCGATTTTGATGAAATTTGGCATAGAGATAGTTTGAGTCCCGGGAAAGAACATAGGATAGTTTTTATCCCGGTTTTTGAAACAGGGACGCGCGCGATAAAGTTTTTCTGTGACAGACAAAAATCCACGCGGGCGAAGCCGCGGGCGGAAAGCTAGTAGGTATAATTTTGAGGAATCTAATTTGCCTAATGTATAGTATAATTCAAATTAAAAACCAAAATAATGCGTATGCGTATATACAAATAATATTGTTAGTCGAGCCGAGCATAAAATATGTAACAGGTAGCGGTGTTGATTTTTTTGAAGTATTTAATATTAATAACTGATAATTTTTACGACCTCAAATGGACATTAAATAAATAGCTACGAGTATACATATTAAGCTAAGTGTCACGATAAAAACTCATATCATCATTTGCATCCGTAGTAAACAAACCCAAAATAAACTTACTTTTCGTCAGCCATTGTTTTGTTGAATAAATATACACAATATCACAGATTCGTTAAAACTACTATCACATAATTTAATTGAGTTAAATATAAAGTCACTTTGATTCACGATGTTAATTTCGCGCGTTCTTGGTCATGTTCAATAATATATTTACACGACTGCACCGCACCGCGTCGGGATGTGAACTGTCGTTTGGACTCGCTCGATTAGCGAGTGTTTTTCTCGTATTTAGTGATATTTTCTCGCTAGAGATTTCGCGATAGGTAATTATTATGGGCGGCATACGTGTGCAGACCTCGAATATATACGTAAGTACACATCCTATGTAACGTTTGCACTGCTAGACTATCTCTATCTTTATCGTAGGGGTAGACTAGACAATACTATTATCAGTATTGGCACACGCGACGTCTGTTTATAGAGTTCACGTTCATTTAGATGCACGATGCGTTTCTATGCAATAGTGCAAATGTAACTATTTTCACTAACTCCGCCTGCCTATAGCAGCAGATCCGAAATTACCAAAAATTAGTTATTTTACATCATCAATAGATTTAGCGTTATTTTTATGAGTTCTTGTAATGTCGAAAGAGAGATTGAGAAAACATCGAAATCTTATCACCTAATCAAGTGGTAAGTGGTAAATCAAGTGCATTGTGTATTGACACGAATTGGCATATTGTTGTCTTCCCCAATGTAGAGCCCTGAAAGGCCCCGCTGAAACGCTGAAAATCAGTGCATGAATGACTTGCTGCCTTTTCGTTAAATGAGAATACAATAATAAAATGCGTATAATATAAAAATTAAGTAAGAATATTTGCTAAATTTAAACATTTTGTGGTTATTTCTGTGGATTATAAAAAAAAAAACTATTTCTAAAAGTTGTTGATTATGTCTCAAATAAAAACTGTTTGAGTAGGGTATTGTTCGTTCAACATTGCATATTTTATTACAAATTATAGTATTCTATTCAGTATACAGATATTGTGCTGAAAGGCGACGTAAAGGCTCATTTCCTACAAGCCAAAATTATTTTTAATACACTAGTTCACACAGGTTTGGGTTCGTGTGCTACGCCAAAATTAACTGCAGCGTACTAACCAGTACTTAGCACGTTATCGATTCGGCACGTGATGTGGGAAATTAATGAAATTGGAGGATCATGACTTATCTGCCTCCGCTGAATTGTTAATGAACTGACAAACACTTTTTTAATAATATCTAGTCAAAATCATATTTTGACTAGATATTATCGCGAAAAGCAAATGGTAAGAAGGTCAACATGAAAAAAGTTTTATCTTTTATGCTAATACTAGCGGCCGCCCGCGACTTCGTACGCGTGGATCCCGTTTTACCCCCTTAGGGGTGGAGTTTCGTAAAATCCTTCCTTAACGGATGCCTACGTCATAACATCTACCTACCTGTATGCCAAATTTCAGCCCGATCCGTCCAGTGATTTGGGCTGTGCGTTGATAGATCACTATAGATGACCCACGCTGAACTGTCCCACCAAACTCAATGACAGGGGGGCGCTACCATCGTTCAACTGTATGGTTTCCAACATGGCAAAAATCGAACCAGCGATCCGGTATTGACGGTGGCGCCCCACTGTCAATGTCATGCATAGGACAGTTCAGTGGGTCTAGACAAAGTGCCATTATAATCGCAAACCAGTCGAAAAGTGGTCGAAAAGCCCCTTTTTTGTATGGAATTTGACGGATTCGATTTTCGATTCGATCAAAAAGTGCGTTTTGTCTAGGGGGGCAGTATTTTGGAACTATATGTCAGTCAGTCAGTCAGTCACCTTTGTCTATAATATTTAGATTGAACTCTATGCTTGAGTGGTCGGAAAACCTCGCTCGACCTAGGTAAGGGTCTGGCATTCGACTTTTAGGAGGAAGTTCTAGATTCGAATTAAAGGGTTGTCCAAAAAGCGGTGAAAAAGCCTGTAAAATTAAGTGATGGAATTAAAAATTTGAAGAAGTTTAACCGCGTGGTTCCAACATAAATAACCATGTGGTTCCGACAGAGTAGAATAAAACCAGACCTCTTAGCGTGGATAAAGGCATTTAAGGGACCTATTATTTTCAAATAAATACTTTGACTCTGAAGCCTATGATTTAGCAGACGGGACCTCCATTCTACTACCTATTACATTTTCTAAACAACTGCTCTTCCCTTTTAACACTAGCGGCGTAAGGGGGGGGCGGTGGGGGCGGTCCGCCCCGGGTGCCACTCATCAGGGGGTGACAACAGTCGCGCAGATTAGTACCGACCTACTCACTGGCTAGTATGACAAGGATTATGTCATTTGAACTAATATCTTTAATGCATTCAATCGGGTAACCCAAAAGAGGGGGGCACCAGACCTTATGACCTGGGGGTGCTGTGCTATCGCCCCGGGTGCCAACCCACGCTACGCCGCCACTGCCTTTTAATAGGTACACTTAAATATTTTTATTGATTATATCAAACTCTAAAGAAAGTAATCGATCCTAAATAGCCATAGACTTAACATTAAAATAAATGAAGCGTGAAATTATAAATATCCATAGCTTGATTGTAAAATATTTTCCATACATGCAAACATCAGCTGAGTGAAACGTGATTTCACTTCACGTGGAATCACATTGGACTACGAACTCCGGAACTTTCAATGGTTCCAATAATAGTTTTTGTACTTTTATTTTAATGAAGACATGGCGGTTCATAAGATTTATGGTGTTTGTTTTGGTAAAAAACGCCGAGATATTTCGCCATACCAATTAAATAAAACTATTTTTTACTTATTGATAAAACTGAAACTTCGTATGCTACCTACATAATAATATATCCTAAATCTAAGTAATAGAGATAATAACTAATCTTGTACTTTTTATTAAAAGAAGTTAAAAGAACCGTATTTCTCTTCTCATAAATCGTACCTACACGACGTAGGTACCTATATACTTTCGTAATACATAAGTAAAATGATTTTATTATGAATCTAACGTCTGATTGATTTTATATTTTTTAATTTAAAATAATGTTATTATGATACCACGCTAACACATGTGATAACTGATACCACAGAATAAGTAATAGTACAGGTACAGAAGGATTACTCCGCAAAACGATTTAAATAAATGCGAGTCNCTGATACGAACGATTTTTTGTGGATTGAAAACGAGATTTGCACGTACTACTTACTTGGGCAGTTGCCAAATTAAGATCATTCATAGTGTATAGCAATATAATATAAATAGTTGGAACCGAGGTCGATGTTCTATATTTCTTTGTTTACAAAATACATGGTACCAAAGCAAAGTCCAGAAAGAGAAATTCGCGAACAATAGTACTAAATGTGACTCAAAGAACTAAGAGTGACTACTTATAGTCCTCCTTAGACGAAACAAGGGAATAAAAGAAAATAATATTACAACTGCAAAAATCGTACTTAGTTGTCTCTATGTATTAGATTCCAAATGAAATACAAATGCGTATAAAATCTACGCCGTCACTGGTTCGTGTGTCACCCTGTACGTCCACGCTCACTGTGAGACCTCATAGTAATGTTTTGTGAATACGGGCGTTAGACACTTTTGTTTCGACCCACTTTCTACATTTCCTTAAAGAGCTATCTTTCAGGCTCTTAATATTTTAATCAATTATAAAATAAAATATCATTTTTCAAAATCAGACCGCGGCCAACAACTGTTATTTTTATTGCAATTAAAGATAAGCTTCAATTGCAGGATAATCGCCACTCCAAAGATATCGATGTCCATTAAAAATTGATATACCTATCGCTATACTAGGTAGTTATTTTGTATTATAAATTCACATTAAAACAGAAAACTGGATGTTAACAAAATGAATCTAAGTATTTACTTCAGCAGCTCTATTTAGCTCAGCTTTCTTTGCTTAGGACAGGTCTGTCAGTCTGTCATCGTTTCCTAAGCTTTGATGAAAGTTTTGATATTCTCTACTCATGGCATACCTTCGCCACGAAACCATGAGAGCAAAACGCTATCAAGTCATATTTCTGCGTTCATTTCCACTACTGACTACGGAGGTGTGTGTGAGCTGTTGAATTAGTTTTGAAAGAAAGAAAGAAAGAAAAAACATTTATTTAGTACCAAAAAATAAAACAGTTAAGTATTTTGCAGTTATTTTGTTTATAAAATTGCGGTCCCAATATACTATGCTCTATAACACAGTAAATTGTGTTTGTTTAAGCGTTTAATAAGGCGATTATGAACAATAATGTTAATTGATGTGCATGTGGATTGAGTGATCCTTGCTTCAATCTTAACAAAAATCGAGGAAGTTTTACTTAAAATATGTTAAAACATTGCGATGGAGTTTAAAAATTTGTTAAACCTAAGATAAAAATGTTATGGCCAATAAATAGGAGCACTCATACCGCACGCTTTAAGAAAACGTCAACATGTTTATTTCAGAAAATAAAGCCTTTCCACTTCTTTATATATATATATATATAATATATAATATATATATATATAGTTTTAACATGTTTTAAGTAAAACTTCCTCGATTTTTGTTAAGATTGAAGCAAGGATCACTCAATCCACATGCACATTGTTAATTGCCGTAAAGCTCTGGATGAAAAGTTTATAAACTTCTACTTCTCGCGTACTTTTAGCGACAATTGCAATCAATAGACTACTTTAATCAAATTGTACAACATTTAAAAATGTTTTATTGTTATGAGTAATCGCCACACGTTCACAATTAATCTCACAACTCATAACCGTCACATGACCACGCTATCTTTATGGCTCTGTTTGTTTTACAGATGCGGCCGTTTGCGTCGCGTACACTCGAAATGATAATGACTCTTTGGGAGATCCTTTCTATAATTGTTGATTGCTTCAAGAAATAAAGGAAGGATTGACTTGTCTTTATACAAAGAAATGAAACTTCAAAGCAAGTTTAAACAAATTAAGTAAATAACTTATTTTAAAACTTTAAAGATATTAAGTACGTACTATGAATGAATGAATCACAGTTGATGTATGAGTGACTGAGTGACTGAATTTCTTACGCCACTTCTTCTCAACACCAGCCGATATATTGTCCCGAAGTAGTTAAAATGGCAAGCTATATTTGGGGCGTGTTATATGTCCTGAAGAGCCCTCAGTACCGGCGTTCCGCCTGCCTTCAAAAGCTCAGCCGTGATTCCAGACCGAAATACCGCAGTGTCTCAAGACGAAAGTCTTCGAGCAGTGTGTGTTGCCAGTGTTGACATATGGATCCGAAACGTGGTCGCTTACTATGGGCCTCATAAGAAGGCTCAAGGNTCCGTCGAGTAGTTTTTGTTTCTATAAGGAACATACAGACAGACAGACAGACAGACAGACAGACAAAAATTTTACTGATTGCATTTTTGGCATCAGTATCGATCACTAATCACCCCCTGATAGTTATTTTGAAAATATATTTCATGTACAGAATTGACCTCTCTACAGATTTATTATAAGTATAGATTGACTTGACTTTATACAAAGAAATGAAACTTCAAAGTAAGTTTAACAAATTAAGTAAATAACTTATTTTAAAACTTTAAAGATATTAAGTACGTACCTACTATGAATGAATGAGTCACAATTGATGGTTGAGTGACTGAATTTCATAATTATGACACTTCTTCTCAACACCAGCTGTTGTATGGGGCGTGTTATGTGATATGTCCTGAAAAAGGCTTACAAACTAATAAAGAATTTGAATTTGAATAGCTCCTTGCACTAACCCCCTGCATGAATGCACCGAGTTGACCATCAACGGTGGAATATAGCTAGATATCGTAAGACAAGCAACAACCGCTCATTTAACCAATCACAACTCATGACGTCCAAGACTTTAAAGCTCTATAGAAAAAAAAATGCATTACCTAAGTAATTATAGATTGAATATGGATTGAGTTCAAATTGGAGCAATGCGTCATTCTTTATCACTTTACGTGCTAATTAAAAAAGGATTGTGTACTAGTTCGCAATGTTGTTGCTATCCATTAATATTCGCGCTAGATACCGATTAAAAATGTTTGTAAAGGATTAAAATTGTTGTCCTTTGGTATGCGAATTCTACGTTTCCTTATTTAGACTCGTATGAAGCGAAGTATCAATGGCCGATAAGGAATTTATAATTAGGAGAAAAAACATATATGAATCTGTTGTTCTCTTACATGAAATATCTATTTTCCTAAGGCTCAGTTTCCACCGTGACGGAGAGGAGCGGAGAAGTGTCGGGCTGTCAATTTTTTTACATTGGCTATTCAATACACTCTGCACCGGTCCGCCTTGGTTAAAACCGAATCTAAGTTTTCATGCTGTTTGTCCAATTCACATCCGTAATTTTTCAGTAGCTCCATGTGCGAGAAAAACTATCAGCTAGAGACAAGTTTTCCGACCTTCTTTTAAAATAAAACACAAACTTGTGTTATACATGGAATGCAATATATTTTTTGCATTAACAATATAAAAGAGAACAGTATATACAGTATACAATAGTACCAATTATGATTAATTAATTATACACATAGTAATAGGTAAACTTAGTTTTATCTAAACGATACATTTATTGCCAAAAAGTTACTAATACCGCTTAATACCTACCACAAAATGTACATTTCCTGCTAATATTGATTTTAAACATATGCCTTTAATCAATACAAATACGGTTCAAAATTGATTGTAAAAAGGACATTTTGTAGTAGGCTATGTGCTAGCTACTATGTACAATAAAGTACCTACTTACCATTATGTATATCGTAATAATTATTGAGTTATAAGTACATATCATTAATTGTTTAAGCTCATACTTATTAGAGTTATTGTTCGATAGAATACATTCGTTATATTTTCATTTCAATGACAAAATCTCTAAGACTGAGTATAGTATAATTATTTTATAGAGCAATAAAAGCTCTTATCAAACGTAAATATAAAATAACTTTACGGTTTATTAGCAATAAAATATATTTATTTAATGTGAAAAACCTTGCGTGGATTTCACGTGATTCTAAATCTAATATAACACCACAACTGGCATAAGGTTGACATAGAACCTGTAGGCTTAGGATGCGCGTCGCGATAAGCATTTATCGCGCAATTTTATCGATTTTACGCGATAAGCCTATACGTTTGTCGTCTAAAATCATCGATAAGATTTTATCAGAGACGCGATAATGTGCGCACTTTTATACATTTTAATACTGATTAACACCACGATCTTACTATCGGCCAACAATCTTAAATCGGTGGTCTGCGCCTAGGCTTAGACGCTGAATGTTGTTTTTCGATTGTAACCTTCGCTATCATCACTGTACCATCTGCTTCTCTCGCTCGCAATCACTTTACTAAGTAAGCTATCTCATTTTAGCACATCCTTTCTAGCACCCGTACTACTTACATAGAACTCTATGTAATTCATGATGCTTACTTTCCACTGGTCCTTTGCCTTTCAGTCGCCAAGACTTGGAACTTGCCAATCACCTCGTTAGTTCGTTCTACGCAGGCGCCCCCTGGTAGGGTTCCTCAGAAGTTTGCTCAAGCTGTGGAGGATCGGAGTCTTCGTCGCTTGTGCTTCGGCCTGGCAGGCGGATGTAACGCGCTTCCCTGCAAAAATAATAAAGTGTGACTACAAGTTGTATCATAAAAACTCTAGCAAGAATGGAGCAAAATATTTTGTCAAAAATGTACTTTTTACGTTGGGTATAATGTGACAGGGTTTTTAGGGTGGCTATACGCAATAACAGACCCCATCGTGACTGCTTGGTACATAATATTGAAGTGTATTTTGTAGCACCAGTACAGAATAATTGCTGTATGCGATGAAATTACAAACGCAACAGGTGACGGACAAACTTGACCTTCAGTAGTTGGGTTTGTATTGGCGGTCAAGCTGTAGATCCTGGCTGCACAAGAGTTGCAGCGGTGGGAAAGAGAGGTGGGAATAGTCCCGGTGACGGATACCAAGTTTGCACTTTTTGAGGAGTTCATTTTCCTACTCTCCACTTTGCTAGGGATGCGCANGTATACTTAGGAATTCCCCGGGAACAGGAATTAGCGGGATAATCCTTTTGTATGAAAAATCTAAACCGCTTACGTTAGACGCTTGAAATTTGGCATGCAGGTACCTTAGTAAACTTAAAGCTTAGGTTACAACAGGATATTGCAAAATTCCCACGGGAACGGGAGTTATCGGGAAAAAACATTTGTATGAAAAAAATCTAAACCGCGTAAGATAGATGAAGGGGGTAAAACGGGATCCACGCGTACGAAGTCGCGGGCGGCCGCTAGTCCGTAATAATTCAGTAACTTCATGTGCGAGAAAAAGTATCCGCTAGAGACAAGTTTTCCGACCTTCTTTTAAAATAAAACACTAACTTGTGTTACATGGAATGCAATATATTTTCTGCATTAACAATATAAAAGAGAACAGTATATACAGTATACAATAGTACCAATGAGGATTTTCGCGAATGAAAAATCCGCCAGATGCAATACGTAGACGCGAGGACCAAATGCTAGTTATTTTTGACATGACATTGACAGATATGTCAAAATCCACCAATCACGCAGCAGTCAGACCCCACATCCACGTGCCGCGCCATCTAGCGGATCTTTCATTCGCGGAAACCCTCATTATGATTAATTAATTATACACATAGTAATAAGTAAACTTAGTTTTTATCTAAACGATACGTTTATTGCCAAAAAGTTAATAAAACCGCTTAATACCTACCACAAAATGTACATTTCCTGCTAATATTGATTTTGAACATATGCCTTGAATGAATACAAATACGGTTCAAAATTGATTGCAAAAAGGACATTTTGTAGTAGGCTATGTGCTAGCTACTATGTACAATAAAGTACCTACTTACAATTATATATCTCGTAATAATTATTAAGTTATAAGTACATATCATTAATTATTTAAGCTCATACTTATTAGAGTTATTGTTCGATAGAATACATTCGTTAGTATTTTCATTTCAATGACAAAATATCTAAGACTGAGTAGTATAATTATTTTATAGAGCAATAAAAGCTCTTATCAAACGTAAATATAAAATAACTTTACGGTTTATTAGCAATAAAATATATTTATTTAATGTGAAAAACCTTGCGTGGATTTCACGTGATTCTAAATGTAACATAACACCACAACTTGCATAAGGTTGACATAGAACCTGTAGGCTTAGGATGCGCGTCGCGATAAGCATGTATCGCGCAATTTTATCGATTTTACGCGATAAGCCTATACGTTTGTCGTCTAAAATCATCGATAAGATTTTATCAGAGACGCGATAACATCGTAACCCTGCTCGTCGATAACTACGGACCTGGCGGCCGTGACGTCACATCGACGCTCAGGTACGGACGGGGCGAACGCAGGCGGTAAGTGGTATAGTTCCAAAATACTGGACTGTCCTGTCGATGACATTGACAGTGGGGCGCCACCGTCAATACCGGATCGCTGGTTCAGATTTTTGTCATGTTGGAAACCATATAGTTGAACGATGGTAGCGCCCCCCTGTCATTGAGTTTCGCGGGACAGTTCAGCGTGGGTCATCTATAGGAGTCGCATTCCAGCGAGGTGCGCGTCAACTCGATCGTTGGTCGATAGTTGGGCCCGATTTTAATTTGTATGAAGGTTCGGCCGATACCAATGAGGGTTTTCGCGATTGAAAAATCCGCCAGATGGCAATACGTAGATGCGAGGTCCAAATGCTGCATGATTGGTGGATTTTGACATATCTGTCAATGTCATGTCAAAAATAACCAATCATGCAGCATTTGGACCTCACGTCTACGTATTGCCATCTGGCGGATTTTTCAATCGCGAAAACCCTCATTGGTGAAATGTGCGCACTTTCATTCATCTCCATACTGATTAACAGCCCGACGCAACTATCGGCCAACTAAGAGGCGGTGGTCTGCGCCTAGGCTTAGACTCCCCGCAAACTAAAGTCTGTTCGCCGAGAGTTGATAAAAAAAATTAAATATAAGAGGTTCTAAACTCATTATAAATTGCGGCCCGCTAATTATTTTTGTCGATATAATAAAAAAGTTGGTAGATTATTTGGCCTGGCCTTTTTTTTTTGGCCTGGATTCTCGGCTCGGTTACAATTTAATTTTGGACTACCATTTATAAGAATGTTTTAAAAATACCAATTATCTACCAAAATCTACTAAACGATTGCGCACTACTAAATCATCGTTTTCTTTGCCTCAAATCTACCAAAAAAGTAGAAATCTACTAAAAGTGGTCACGCTGTGGCCGCCGCCGCCCGCCGGCCGGGGCGCTTGACGACAGCTGCGTGGCTCGTACCATGGTACTCAGTGCGCGTTGTGACGAACGACGCCCGCCATACAGAATGCGATAATTAAGCGACAGTCACTATTGCAAGACATTTCATAATATTTATCAACTCTCGGCGAACAGACTTTACAGACTTTTAGTCGGCCGATAGTTGGGTGCGACTATAATTTGTATGAGTACCAAATCGGTGTAATGTGCGCACTTTCATACATTTCCATACTGATTAACACCACGACCTCACTATCGGCCAACTAAAAATCGGTAGTCTGCGTCTAAGCTTAGACGCTGAATGTTAGTTTTTTTATTGTAACCTTCGATATCATCACTGTACAGTCTGCTTCTCTCGCTCGCAATCACTTTACTAAGTAAGCTATCTCATTTTAGCATATCCTTTCCAGCACTCGCAGTACTTACATAGAACTCTATGTAATCCATGATGCTTACTTTCCACTGGTCTTGTGCCTTCCAGTCGCCAAGACTTGGAACTTGCCAATCACCTCGTTAGTTCGTTCTACGCAGGCGCCCCCTGGTAGGGTTCCTCAGAAGTTTGCTCAAGCTGTGGAGGATCGGAGTCCTCGTCGCTTGTGCTTCGGCCTGGCAGGCGGATGTAGCGCGCTTCCCTGCAAAAATAATAGTGTGCGACTACAAATATTTGTATCATAAAAACTCTAGCAAGAATGGAGCAAAATATTTTGTCAAAAATGTACTTTTTACGTTGGGTATAATGTGACAGGGTTTTTAGGATGGCTATACGCAATAACAGACCCCATCGTGACTGCTTGGTACATAATATTGAAGTGTATTTTGTAGCACCAGTACAGAATAATTGCTGTATGCGATGAAATTACAAACGCAACAGGTGACGGACAAACTTGACCTTCACTGGTTGGGTTTTATTTGGCGGTCAAGCTGTAGATCCTGGCTACACAGGAGTTGCAGCGGTGGGAAAGAGAGGTGGGAATAGTCCCGGTGACGGATACCAAGTTTGCACTTTTTGAGGAGTTCATTTTCCTACTCTCCACTTTGCTAGGGATGCACCNTAGTCTAATACTTAAATACTTTTTTTTTGTAAATACATACTTATTATACATAGAAAACACCCAGTCCAATACAAACAAATATGTTCATGCACACAAATGTTTGTACTGTGCGGGAATCGAACCCGCTACCTCCAGAATAGTAGTCCGTTTCGAACCACTACACCAAACGGCCGACGCTTATAATATTATAATTACTATCTAATAACTCACATAGCATACAAAACATAAAGAAACTAACCTGAATCTCCCTAGAGAAGTAAAGTCCGCAGTTAAAGAGGGAGTACATAGTGAAACCCATGATGTTCAACGCCAAGAAGTCAAAGTTGAGTCCGACCACGCTCTTTCTCTTGTAGTTGATGTAGATTTGCGGGTAGAAGGACACAGACCACGCTGCGAAGTAGATCCAGCCCATGATGTAGGAGATCAGGCGAATTGCGTGGGAATGCATCACCGTGATCCGGAGAAACACGTCGTCCATGCTGGGAAATTAAATACTTTATTATAGCTTGCTCACTAGAGCTATGGCGCTCTTTCTGGAGTTTTTGTTTCACGGTCGTTTGACGTTACATTCGACGTATAGTAAATAAGTATCAGGTTTTATTTTTGAGGACATTTATAGCTTAGTTAAAGCGGCACATCTTTTGTGGTTCAGCTATAACACTAGGTGCCTCCTAACCCATTTGGCCAGCTTAGGGAATATAGGCCAATCCTCCATTTGATTATTCCTTTAAGAAGATCCTACACCACGGAAAATAAACATCAATTAAGGGGACCTATCTTATAAGCTGTTAGCTATCTGCCAATAATATTTATCACAAAATCCCTTATAACCACAGTCAACTTACTGAAACAGATGTATTGAATTAAGAATTATGTCACGTTCATGTAAATAGGCATTGAAGTAGGAACAAGGTTAAAGTAAAGGCAATTAATCATTGGTAATGACTTGTTTATAGAGTAGAAAAAGAAATAACTAATTCAATGAGTAATCTGGATTTTAGATATGTAATGTTGGTATTTCATAAGTCATTCAATGTTTATTTATCTCTGATATAAGTAAACAAAATAACCCCAAGTTTATTTCATGTAAAACGTACCTAAAGTTTATTTAGATAACCAGCGGGGTTATTAAAAGTTAAGATACGAATAGAGCTACACACTTAGTCATTAAAATTATCTAAAGGTTAAAATTCTATGCACCCAAACATATGTTTTGACTCATTTGATTTATATTTTTATTTAAANTG